GGTGTGGCTATAGTTTGGCATTGCGTATTATATGGCTAAAGCTATACTCATTTTGAATTTCATGCAATCCGGTTCATAACTAACGCAGATGTCAAAAGGGTCTTCTTTATTTTTTGTACTGTGTTGCAAACTCCGATCTACAAATTTGATAAAGATCTCATCTGCAAATTTTCATCGTATTCCGTATATTCCTTTTCAAGATGCTAACGGACAGACAGACAGACATAGCAAAATAATGAACTCGCTAAGAGCTCGTTAATAATGCGTGTCATGGAACGTTTTTAAATATTTTTCAGTTTTTCGATATTTTCGATCAGTTACAAAATCGGTTAACCTAAACTGAAGTTACGTTCAAATACTTAAATTAAAGAGATGTTCCATCCACCACGCCTCAAATTATATGAGCTAGTCGCTGCATAAAAATTCATATTTCAGGAAAAAAATCATTTTCCTGGTAAACTTAAAAATAATTTCCAGCGATTTCTTTTGGTCGCTTTTGTTAAAAAATCTGTTTCCCGAAAAATTCCCAGTTCCAGAAACTATTCCACCAGAAATGAGTTCTAAAAGAATTTGATGAAAACATAAGAAACAATTAATTTAGGAAAACTTGAGAAACTGAGGGTGGGTGGTGGAATATTGTAGAAATTTGTACAGAAATTGAACTGGAAAGAAAAAGAACTTCAATACATTAGAAAGGAGCCGTGAGAAAAATGTGATGGAACCGCGAGGAAATCTTAAAAGGAATTCGAGTTGAGTGTAACTTATGAGCAAACTAAGAGAATGGAAAAATAAAGCGAATTGAAGGTGGATGCTTGAGAGAAATTCGAAAGTTTAACTGTACTTAAGGCGACCTTAGTGTAACATAAACGTGAGAACTGCTTGAGGAAAATGAATCAAATTTGATGAGATTTTCAAATTACAGGGAAAGTTGAAGGAAATACGCTGGGGGGAACCTGAGTAAAACTTAAAGAGGAATTTCAGACGAAGTTGAAGGGAACTGGGGAGTTGCATGCTGCAAATTTTAAATTAACTTGAGAGACGCTTTGATAAAAATTGAGAAGGGAAACATGATTTTAATTTCAAGAGAACTGTTTCATTGGACTTTGAGGGAGTTTAAAGAACTACAGTGTGGGAGGAATTTGATGGGAATTTAATGAGAACTTGATTTATTATTTGTTACAAAACAAAATATAAGGACAATAGGTCATTATCGATACGTTTTTGTTTAGAAGTATCGGAGGAGCACGGTAGAGGGGCTTAAGATAAATTGAATGGAGAAATTTTACAGGAACAGGAAGGAAACTTTAATCGAAACTGTGACGAAACTAAAAGGAGAAATATAATGACTCCTTAGTTAGACAATGTGAATTTCTCATGCACTTTCCCAGAAAATAATATTTTAACTTGCAGCATAGGGACTGAGGATTTATCACTTTCCTCCAAAACCTTACCTCCGCAAATCTTGAAAAGATCCTCCCTGACGAAAAAAGACAGTATAGAAGGTAGAAGTGGAAATACTTTATGCAATTTTTTTTCTGCCTGAAAGTCTTTAAGGAGTTCTTAGGTAAATGTAATGCGAAATGTGATACCTTTTTATAAAAGACTTCCTCTAAAATAATCTACGTCGATGATGTCTTCAAAACTCCAAAAAAGGTTTTAGCTATGGCGAAATTCGTTACCCATATTTTAAAAGATGATGAACTGTGTAACTTGGGGGAGGGGGTTGTAGGTGGTCCAGAAATCTAATTGTAATATGAGGGGCATTTCATAATTTGGAACAAGGTTAACTGACATTGAAGAAAACCAACCCGACACAGTAAAATAAAAGAAAATATTCCAGAACCTCCTCCGCAATCATAAATTTACAAAAATAAGTCAATTTATATGAAGTGGGAAATGCGATGTCATAACAAATTTACGATGTTTAAGATAAGAAGTAAAGTAGATAAATTATAACCCGTACACGCCTCGTGTATCATTTTTTATGACGTTAAGTCGCAACCTTCTTACATTTTGAGTGCTTTAACATTTTCAGCAGGCACATAAAAGACACTGATTCTAGGACGAAAAATTTTCATTAAGTGGCAAAGGCTGGCATACAAATTAATAATATTCACTAATTACCCTAATTCTAGCTCATTAGTGTTGAAACACAGCCTACGTATAACTTTTGACCTACAGAAGCAATTCGTCTACCTCGCGTCTGCCTTCGCTACTTACACCATTACGTTTCGTTAAGATGTTAACACAACCTATTTCTTTCGCTCTTACTATAACTACGACGTAAATGCTACCAGACGTATGCGAATGCCAACGTAAACTTGCATTCGAAATATGCGCTTATGATGTAAATTTGATCTATGTCATATCCTGTGCGTTCCGCTAATTTTTTACCGTAGTTTTTTAGTGAGGAAGGTTATAATTTAACACGTGACATTTTTATTTTTTGACAGAATGACCAAGAATAAATCACAATTAATGCGACCTGCTACATGTAAGAAAATGTGGCGGTTACTTTAGCCCTTAAAAACGCGGTAGCACCACCTATTGTAACACATTTCCGGCGAATCCCTACGAAAACAAGGTCTTGAAAACTTGTCACTCCGCATACTCCAGATATTTATCGAAAAACCTCTCTGAATGAACCCTATACAAAAACTTCATTTGATTAGTGCATTAAACACAGTTTGAATGGTTAACATCTGTTCTGGTATAGTTAACAATTTTATTTCCGGCTTTTATCCTGTTTTGTGAATTTGATTATGAAGCGTATTCAGAAACCAAAACCCTTCACATTCTCTCACGGAAAACTTACAGATTTAGGTTAATAAAAAAAAGCAAAAGCAAGTTGTGTTATTTATTACGAGTATTTCCGTTGATAAATTAATTTTTTCGCTTTGTGCTGCTTGTATAAACAAATAATAATCGCTCCAAGCGCATTATCTATTGCGACTGAATCATTTAATTACTGCTACGTGTTTATTTACTATAATCTTGTCTTGTTTATATTATTGAGATAGTGCCTTGAACACGCGCCAATGTGATACAAAAAATTCCATTCATGTGAAAAACCCCCATTCCCATTACAGTACTTTGGAATTCTTACCATAGTTCCAAAATTCTTGAAACATCTTAATTTAAGTAAAAAAAATTACTCACAATTTTAATACGGAAACTCATAATTCATAAAAAAAGGCTTGTATTCCAGAATATCACAACTATTATTTTAATTTAAATGTAAAAGCACAAGGCAGGAGTGAAATTGTGGAAGAAGGCGGAAGAGAAGAAAAATTGATGAAGATGATACTATAGAAAAAGAGGAGAAACACATAAATGTGGTACATGTAGTTGAGTTTTTGCAAAATGGCGTTAATAAAGAATTGATTGATAATAGTTCTTATTGCCGAAAGTAAAATTCTTCATACTTTATTGATTTTCCAAGCCAACACTTTATGACGGAAGCTTTCCAAGCTTTTAATGGCTATCTAGGATTGCAATCAGAAGCTGGAGCCTGGAGCAGTTGCAAGTTTGAACAAAAGTGTTGGAGTGTTGCTTGGAGCATAGAAAAATGCTCCTGGTAACCAGAGGAAACGTGAATTAGGAGCCGAGCAGAAAGACCTCGTCGCAGATTATATTCTCCTAATACAAAAGTTGTAATTCTTTAAACGAATTTAAAGTGCGGGAGATTTCTTCTGAGCATAGAAAAAGCGCTTTCATCGATTGTTTTCCTGGTAGCTGCAAAAAGTTTACAACACTTTCCAACTTTCCAGCAGTCAGATTTCTTTTCTGATACAAAAGTTGTAAAAAAATAAACAGAGAAGAAATGTTGTGAACCATTTCTCTTACGAACAGAAAAAGACACGTTCACAGATTATGTTCTGTTCTCTTGGTATCCGGAGTAAACTGATTTAACAGACACTACATTGTCGGTGCCCTGACAATACTCCTATTAATTAGCCATAAAAATTTCTAGGATAAGGTTTCGACAGGAAATATACAGTGTGTCCAAGGTAAGAATGACCAGCATGGGGAAATCATAAACCATATAAGAAATACACAGTCGGTTAAATTAGACAAAAAGTGCGTATGTTTGGGTTTAGTAAAATGATGTTTTATAAAAAAATCCGATCAGTTCCGAACATATTCGGAAAAACCGAAATTAACAATAATTGTTTTTATTTTTTCTGACCCTGTTTGAAAAGATAACACTTCCTCGTAGGAACTTTTTAACCTCTATAAGATGCTGCTCACAGATTTTCACTGTGACGTTTTGTTTTTGAGAAACCATTAACAATTTTTATATGGACCGGAAAAGAAATACTGTGTTAAGTAGCATCTTTTAATACAAATACAATGATACAATTGGCACCCGTAAACGTCTATGGTCTAGTTTCAATAAAAAATGCTGTAAAAAAGTACCAAGTTAAGACATTAGACGCAAAAGGAAAGTACAAGCGGTATAAAATATATCGATAAAAGTTCATTGGAACGCGGGTGATGGTGAATTATAATCGGTTGATAAGAAACGCATGACCATTTTTCTAATTTTCCCAATTCATATTATTTAAGAGCCTAATTACTACACCGGTTTCAACAATTGGCTTGGTCCCTTCTACAACATAATTCTAATTTGAAACGACTTAGTGGATCACAAAGGTTTTTCATGACCTATACCTAATTGAAATCCGTCATTATTTTGCTAATGAAAAGTTACAGTTTTTATACAAATTATAATTGGGAGTAGGTACACTCTCTTGCAATTCTGAAAAAATTGAACGCAACCCCTCTACGTTTATCAGGTTAGGCGTGATTTCAGCAAAATAAGATATGCAGATGTGGTAGAAAAATGTGTTTATTTAACAACTCATGTTCCGCAAACACGCGTTTACATACTCGTGAAGAAGTACACTTAAAAGCTTCCTGATAAGTTAGCAGTTCGACCACTAGAGCGAGTATATACAGCGGGACTCGAATAGAAAGTGGAGGAGCTTTTAAGTTTTAGTTCACATAAAAGAGAGAAGGAGTAAGGACGTAAACGGGATGCATTTGGATCGGGCGGTGAAAACACGATACTTAACTTGTCGCAATTAACGAAAAAAGTAGAAGTGAATTAAAAACAATAAAAATGCGTACGTAAGTCGTTTTATTTATTTTTGGAAGAAGGTTTTAAAAATACGTAAGTTGCATCCTACTCCTTCTTCTGTGTGCGTGTTTTTTTTGTAATATTTGTAGCGTTTTGCGAATTTATTAACTGATAAAATAAAGTTGAGTGGTTACTAATAGAAATGTGGTAGTGGTTTGGGGGTATTTAGTTTGCGACGGAGACGCATCATGGTGACTTTAATGCCTTGTAATTACCTAAGTGCACAACCTACCAGATGTACCATGATCGACAAAATGTGTGAACCAAAGGTATTTTGCATCTACAATTTTGCGGGATTCCGATTTTCTGCTCTTATTTAAAAGGGGCGCTTTTAATTAGTTTAATGGTAATCAGGAAGCGAAAAGTACCTATAAATAAATTTTATTGCATTCTCCCACGCTTTGTTCTTTTTTTGACAAGAAATACAAACGTTTTTCGTTACTTTGTAGATTATGCAAGCATATTTTGTCCACATTTTCTAACTGAAGGAAAATATTACCTTTCGGCATTTCTCTGGATTGCTTGTAGAAAACCATCGCATTTGTATTTGTATATTACACCTACTCGTCCAGACATATTTTGTAATGTACATAATAATTGCATTCATTAAATTAAGTAGGTGGAATCTTTTGGTCGTACGTAAAAGCTTTCATTGTCTCGAATCTTAATTTTTCACAATCTTTGCTGAATATATAATTATAGTTAATTTAATCTTAACATTCGTCATTTTTTATTATATCGACTTATTTTTAAATTACTACCTATTTGCAGACACGATATTCGTGTATCGACAGCAATTTTTTTCACGTTTTCTAATTGAAATAAACACAAATTGTTACCATGCTCGCACTGCATTTGGTATATTCCGCAGTCTTAAAATTCGTTTTTATTTTTGAAGTTTTCACTGATACATACCTATATGTATTAAAAAAACATACCCACCTTTTTTTTACTTTTGCCAAACAAGAAGTATTGCTTTACCCTCGGCTGTACCATTAAATGAAAATTGGAAACGATCGTTTTCTTTTGATATTTGGTGCCGGAATCTTTTGTGTCACCAATTTGTACTATTATTAATTTATTATCATCAATTTGTCAGCATCGCAGTTTTTGGATACCAAGTTACATAACGGGAAGTGTTGAGGAAACTCAAACGGAACTGTTGTGAGGGCCCACCGTTTTGACCCTTCGTAGTTACTAGTTAGTTAGTTCATCTACACCGTCTGGCAATAGGTATCTGGCATTCAAAGTAATAACGACCAAATTTCAACTAAATGGCTTTTTTTCCGTTTGTAAATTGGTTATTTGCCGGTTGTAACCGCTAGAAACTTCCCGACGGTAACCACCGAGTGAGATCAAATTCGAATGCTTAATTAACTTCACGTAGTGGGTGGTTCAGCAGCCCCGCGAAGGAGGAAATCGACCGAAATTAGGATTGGGTACACATAGATAATAGGAATTAAGTCTGATTTCCTTCCCACAGACATAAAGGTAAAAATTCTTGATCTTTTACTATGAACAAGTGTCTGCTTTATATTTATAAACATCGATCTTGATTTTGTGGAATACAGTGACCAACAACACTTGACAAAATAAGACCAAAGAATACCAGAAAGTTACCATGGAGAACCTACCAACATTCATTTTTATACCTACAAGAAGTCTGCAATTTTATACGAAGATCACTTCTCACCAAGATTCTCATGTTGAATCTAGTCTTCAATGAATAAAAATGCAAGAAACGAAATCACGCACGTGGGAGCTATCCGTGCTTTCGTTACTACAAACCAGATAATTTCGTTTATAGGGAGCAATACAATCGTGTGTATCTTTTCTAACATTAGCACCTCGATTGAAACGTGAAGTAGAATTGTAAGGAACTCATCCCCCCTCAATGTAGGAAATTACGCAACCCTTAAAAGACCGATTGATAGTTCGACTTCAGTTCAGTTTCCAATCAAACATCTGTAATTAGTTAATAGAACCATGGTTGAACTGTTGTGGCACAACCGGTCCTAATGGTATGGACCCTCCCGCCCCTCCAAAGCTGTATACTTCTTGTTAAAGGCTTGGATTTTACTCCTACCTCTATTCCGACAATTTTTAAAATATAAATGGGTTCTCAAGGACAAAACAAAATATACATAAAAATTTCCAACATATTCAGCAAAATAATTAAAATGACAAATATAACGGGAGATTCTGCTTCGAAATAGTTCATTTACAATTATTGTTTTTTTGTGGGTTGTATGGAGGGGGGGGGGCAGAACCATAGAACAACGAGTACCATTGCGATCTTGAAAATGGATTACTTGGGAACGGTTGTAGTTATTGGCAACCAATTTTTACCAGTCAATAGAGAAAGGATAGGTCACCTATGAAGATCCAATTTTATGAAATTTCAAAGATCAAATAAAGTTGTTTTCTAGTCTTTTAAAAAAATTAAATATTGCATTTTCTTATGAATTTGATAGATAATCAATATTATATGTTCCTATAAACTATAATCTTTAACAGTTTCTGATTTAATTCAGTTCTATGATCGTCACGTCGCGTCGTCTGGGCCGTCGCGGTCTGTCTGGGTATCGCTCAATGACTGTACGGCAAGCACGTGCCGCAATTCGGTCCATTTCACTATAAATAACTATTACATTTCAAAAATCTTCTAAGAGGGAACCCACTGCGAGCCTTTTTTCGATTACTGAAAAACTTGCGTTAACCCTCGTGTTAACCTAAAACAGGTGAGGGATTCGAGGGCAGATTAGTGTCACTAGAGCTGTTTAAAATGCAATTGTCATAAAATCATGAACTACTCAAAAGCAAATCCGAAAAAAATCTCGAAAAAAATTGTATCAATTCAATGGAATGGGAACAAGTCAAAAACTATTAAAAATAGCTATTAGGAACATGTAATATCAAAATATGCCAATTTTGATTCTCTATCAAATGCAATAGTAAGAAATTACATTAAAAAACCGAGTTTTTAGTTTTTGAAATTTCCGAAAATTCGGATCTCCATCGTCGTACGCACCTTAACTTTTTTTAAGTACACTAAAAGAACGCCCCTCGGAAAGCGTTTGTCTTTCTCTATACGCTGGTAAAAATGGGTTGCCATACCTACAACCGTTTTCAAGTAATCAATTTTCAAGGTACTCTCTGCATCCGATATTATTTATAAAGTCAAAATAACTTAAAAACCATAAATTGCAGATATCAACATTTGGGTATCAAAAAAACTGAAATTTCACGTAGAATACAAAAATGTAATAAAAAATAGGGGCTGTCATTTAGTGCCACCATTTTGAAAATATTTTACATCGATTCAGCCTTCAGAGTCGGGTTCAGAGTAACTACACAAATTTAAAAAACCTATACCATTTCACTTTCCCAGCAACTATAAAACTCGCAAAAAAAAACCATGGAGAGATATATTTTAATAAACAAAACCAAATACAATTTCTTGAGGATTGAAATAAATACCTTCAAGCTCGTCTTCAAGGCTCAGATATGGGTTGATAAAGCAATTGAATTGCTTTAAGTAGATTTGTGTCTCAATATCAAAAATCCGATTTATATCTTTGTTTATATCGGAGACCGCTCTAAACAAAAGTTGATAAATTTAGTTCTAAGTCGAGGGTAAAGTGGGCTTCCTAGGGGTTGTAATAGGCAACGATCGTTGTTGGTAGGGCTTTGAGCGGGTAGATAAGATCATCATCAACTTTCGCCATTAAGGGTGAGTGTGGATTACCATTGCCATGTAACTTAAAATTCAACAAATATATTGCTGGATTCTACATCTGCAATTTCTATATCTATACTATTCATGTCATGAGAGACACCTTTAGGAAATTTTAGTACAACCCTATATACCTATATACTCTGACCGTATCAATATTTTTTTTTAAATTGGCCGAAAGTTGCCATTCTCATAGAGTGAGAATGTTTGAATTTATTTTTAATATTTTTCATACACGAGATCGGATATTTCTAAAGGTAGGCTGTATACGAGTCAGAACATCAGAATATTTTTCGTTGTACGACTAAGAAATGCAATTTGTTTTTCACATCTTTTCAAAAACGAATGAAAGAAATTCTGGAGATCTAGCATCTAGGGATCATTCATCATTTTTTGGTCTAAATAAAAGAATGGACAAATAACTTCACAGATTCCCAATAATTGGTTAGTTTTTTTTTAATAAATCGCACAATATATCTATAGTTTAAGGGCTATACGCTCCAAAAAGTGTTTAAAGTTTACTTTCTTTTTTAATTATTTCTAGGATTCAAGTGTTTAAAGATGTCTCGAATGATGTTGAACCAAAAAACTTAGGTAATTTCCGGTATTTTCGCTTTCGATGTTAGAGATACTGTTTTTCATTTACAAAAAAAAATTGGTGTTACGAATGCAAGGGCGTGCAAAATTGATTTATTAATACCTTCTTTCTTACCTAATATTTTTTCTGTTAAGTACTGTAATTTGTGTAAGTACTAAGTACTTACCTACTAATTGTTTTAAAACTCCGAATATGCGAAAATATTGCTTTTAGTTTCAAGAACTAGTTTATTGGGATGAAACGTGAAGAAACTGTCATTTTAGAAGAGATCGCGGGATAACGAAAACTTTAAAATATGTCGAACAGTCGTCCATTAATTTCTATTTCATTGATATTAAATTTATTGATCAAAATATGCTAGAATTTAAAAACTACCTGCGTAGTGTCCGTTACCCCTTCAATCAATGCCCAATTAACGTTTACTTGCATTCCACTTTTATGTAGTTATTTTAACCCCTTCCAAGCGAAGGGGTTGTAGTTTTCGTTTCTTTTGGAAATAATTTCCGCTATTCTTAAAGGGGTAACGTGTAGGTATTGAAATTTGCTAGTTCCCATAAGATTCATGGTGGTCAATTGTATTTTTCTAGTATAGAATAAATTGGCATTGAAATCTGAATTGATTTTTTTTCACACATATTATTCAACCACATTTTGAAAGTATTTCTCAGTATTTCTTTACCTTTCATTGTAAAATTATTACATTAATTAAGTACTGTGACACATATTTCTAGTAAGATAATCAAAGAGCGAGATTCCAGCTTCAGTGTGGAGATATATATAGGAAACTACAATAAATACCTGAGATTTAGGACATTTGAAAGATTTTTTTATCCTACCATGCTTTTTACTATAAAATATGTTTGCCTCGATGTTTCTTACGTTTCTGAAAATTTGCTTATTCGAAAATATGTTTTCAATGTGTAACTCTGCCCTTAGGTAAATTTTGGAAATTATAAATGATATACTTACTTAGTAATTTGTGTCTATTTTATACACTCTATTTTTGTATTTTGTCTTCCGAAAATTTGACCAGGTGTGCAATTTTTTCGCATTTGTATTCAAATAGCACAACTTAAACAGCTTATCGTGATGTAGTCAGTAGTGTTTTACAGAATTAATTTATATTTCTCTCTTTGTAGGTGAAAAGGGCTCGAACTGATGCAACCCTCGACTCCACAGATCGAAATCGGTAAGTTGTTGACATTTAGGTAGTGTAGATGCGCTTTTGACTAACAGATGTTCTTGTACCTCAAAATTCTTGTTTTAAGTTATTCACTTTTACATACATAATTTTATGACGGTGACTTAAGAAATTTTTGGGACATCAGATAGTAAAATCTCACAGCTAACAATTTGTTTTATGACTCTTCGGTTAGGATTCAAACCTGCGAAAGACAGTGGGTGGAGTAATGTTGATAAATGTTATCAGAAGTGAACACAGCGGATTGTTGCAAATTGCTATAGTTACAATTTTAAACAAAGACGTACTGCTGACGCATTTATAATTGTTGAGTCTGCATGTCGTGGATGGGGACAACCTTTTCTTTATGGGTTTGCATGCGGTCAAAGCGAAACAGGCGACACATTTCCGACGGTCAGACAATAAATGTCTAACATTTTGCGTAGTTAACGCCTTTTCCATATGTGGACAGTCGGACAATTCAAGGAAACTACCAAGGGCCATAAATTTCCCGCTCGTATTGGTGTTTGTGTCGCAAATTATTATCGGAGATTTCAATTACACGTTATGTCGCGAACCCTACCAGTAATTTACCTGAATTTTTTGTGAAAGAATGAAGAATTATTACATGCTATGACTAATTTATCTGCAGCGTGCGTGTTGACAATCGTGTTTATACGTCTTTTAGATATACTAATCTTACAAGAACGAAGTCCTTAAATTATGCGCAGATAACAATCTTGGTCCTAAATATCTACATCGTCGAATTGCTTTATAATATTTACATGTTTAGAGTATTAACAACGTTTAAGAAGTAAATTCTTTTATAGAAAATATGTAGGAGAGTTGGTGACACAAAGACACATGTTTTTTAAAAAAGCCTCACCCTCGGTAGGTAGTCAAGTGATTTCAAAGAATATAAAAGCAGAGCAGTAGCTCTACTATGAATGGACGATTTAAGCCGATTATATTGAAGACTTGATGACATAATTATCTTGAATATCTTTCAGTTTGGAGAGTATAAATAAATCGCGGAGTTGTACATTTATTTCGGAGGGGGGGGGGGGGGGGCTTAAAATGTATGTGAAAAACATACTTGAGTCATCAACTTGAGGCGACCGTCGTATTAAAGACACATTTCTCATTTCATGGGAGATTTGCAAAAAATGCGTAAGCAAACTGTCTGTCTCCATTTCGTGCATCGTCTGTGATTGTGCTTGTGCGCTATTTAGTTGGGCCGTTTATTTGTTTATTTATCTAAGAGTAGCACGTGGTGCGCGTACAGAACTGTACATACGCTTAACAATTATAATGTTTGAAGTACATACAGTGAATGAAGAATAATTTAAAAGCCTTATAAGTTCCACACTGCCCGATTTTTTCTGTTGCATGTGGAATATGAAGAAGAGCAGTTTAAAGTGACATTACAGTGTCAGTTGGTGCGGGTGAACGCTTCGATGAAAAATGCGAAATATGCTGAAAAAACTTTTCTGTCAAAAAAATCACTGGATTATGAAAAAGCGTGTTTCCAAATGTGTTCGCGAGTTCGATAGAAAAGAACTAGTGCAGCTGGCCTTAGAAGTGGATTTTTCGGTGAAATGTCCGACCAAACCAGTATTCCGAATGAAATTTCTTCGGGCCTCAATAAAGAATTTGGGGAAGGTATTATACCATGGTGAAGGTTATAATCCCGCTATACCTATTGGAAATCCACAGCCTACAGTTTTTACCAAAAAGTATCGATCAAAAAGCAAAAAAATGGACTATATTGACAACGTGAATAAAATCAAAGAGCAGTTTGAACCCATAACTGCAGTTCTTAAGAGAAAGAAGATAATATGCACCCAAATTATGACGTTCATTTCTGATAAAACTGCGCAACGACAAGCCCGGAAAATAAAAGTACAACCAACGCCCGAATAAAAAATAGAAATATTACAGGAGGCAGGATGCAATCTGGCTCACCAACTAATATTGAGGTAAAAATCAACAAACGATTACATAGTATGTTAATGTCACTAAATATTGATTTAAATGCAATAGTTTATCATTAGCCATAATATGGAAAAACGTTAAAAAGTGACCATTTTTTGTTACTTTGACTTTCAGCCCAAAGGCTTTCAGCTCTTCCTTGTATGTCTAAGAATACGATTCTAGCAATGATGATACCATAACGAAAGTTCTGGTAACCATCAGAATCAGACAAGTAATTTTATGATCTATTTTGCTAGTTTAATTCTTCGTTCAAATCTAACGCGTAAGACGTGATATTACTATTTATGTTGAAAAATTTCGTTTGTCCCGTATAGAATGGGGTGCTGTTTCAAAACAAAGCGCCATACAATATTTTCAAGTGCTAGATTTTATAGATTCGTAGTGAATGTCATGGTAATCATCTGGAATATTTCTGATTTTACAGTAATAAAAGTACAGTGTCTTTTAGCGATTAGTACGCTAATTTATTTCAGTACGTAAAATAACAACTTAAAATTACAGCTCGAGATCTGAATAGCATTTCCCGTGCGGCTCAAATTTCGACATGAGTCACTCTCGGAGTCGATCTTTCCCGCAAAATTATCACTGCGTGGCTGAAGACAAAGGCTACGTTGATTGTCGAGAATATTTTTCACAGTGTATCAATGAACTCAGAACAGTAGGGAATGCTAGCGGCGTTTAGACTATTTTTACGAATTGAGATGTAGGAAAATTTGCAAAATTTTAGACTACTGTTTATTAGATTTTAGAATTTCTTTAGTGAGCATCCACTGGTCTAAATATACCTACCCATATTTTTAGAATGAAGGATGTCGCAAAGGAACAAGTTCTATAGTACGCTACGGTAAATCTGATAGGGAGTGAGAGTGAGCCCTCAAAAATCACATACAGAGAGGCCAACTATTCAAAAATTTTATAAGTAGCAAGGAAAAACGGCAATCATTTATACACAGTAAACATATTTATAAATTATAACCGTATACAGTGTGTCCTAGATCGCGTGGGATTGCATGGGTAACTTTGTTATTATTAAAGATAGAGAATTGGTTAAATGGGCAATGTTTTGCAGTTTTGGATGCTTATTTAAAATTTCCTTATGGAAATTCAAAATGTCGCATAGGTTCGACGTAAATTCAAAAAAACTAAAATTGGTCATTTCCTTGAATGTCTTATATCATCGAAAGTATAAGAGATATAAAAAAAAGTTTTATATAAAAGTGACTGTCTTTGATACGCTTAATTTAGAATTGATGTCAAAAAAATTCAAGATGGCTACTTTTGAGGAACATTTACCAACTTCCTAAAGTTAAATAGGCGCTATATGATATTTTTAGATTACTTGATAGATTTTTTAATTCTCTTTGCAACCAGCCATCATAACATAAGATTGAAAATAAGATACCAGTTGTATCAACGGTTTTTGTATTTTAATCAAGTAGGCTGTGATGAATTAAAAAAAAAACAAAACAAAATCTATACAAGCCAACAAAACAATGAAAATAATTACATCAGATGTTAAAAAAATCAGGGGCGCACTCATGAGAGGGGGGTTTGGGCATTACAACTCCCTCCAAAATTTTATATAAGTAGACCTAGAAAAATTTTGATTTTTATAACATCACTTATTGACTATCTTATTATCCATACTTATATACCTACAAATGGTGGTATAACTACAAACTATCCCCTCGAAAAAATGTCATGCCATTATCCAGTTAAACACATTTCAAGACACTTTGCTTTATTTTACACAATGTATTACCATTGATGCATTGTCCCAGGTCATATTTTGTAGGTCAGTAGGTGGTTTATCCGCAAGAATATCGAAACTAACAGTTTTACCAGTCCGAGTATATGGACAGATGAATCTTTTTCTAACTGCGGAGTGTTCAAATCGACATAATGAACACTATACTCGTCACAGGAAAACCTACATGATGTAGTTTCACACCGAAATCAAGTCATATTTTTTTAAATTAATGTATTTTATGGCATAATGGGAAGTCATGTAATTGGACCTGTAATCTTCGTTGGATCTTTAATTGCTCACCATGATTTACAAATTCTCCAATAAACTTCCTTAAAGGATTTTTCTCGACAACATATGTTTCGAAGAAAGGGTTGGTTTACGCTACCTACCAACAAGCTGGCTGCTCAGGTCACAATTCACGAATTATGTACAGTACATTAAATTATAAAAGTACTTAATTAAAAAATAAAAGTAAAGTGGAAGGAGCTACCACTACAATCATAATAATAATCATCAATGGCAACACGTTGCCTAAACTAAACTGTCTTGAAGTGTGTTTCACTAATAATGGCCAGTATTTTAAACATCTGGTGTAATTATTTTCATTGTTTTGTTGCCTCGAATAGATTTTTTTTTTTTATTCGTCACAGGCTACTTGATTAAAATACAAAAACCGTTAATATAATTGGTATCTTATTTTCAATCTTATGTTATGATGGCTCGTTGAAAAGAGAATTAAAAAATCTATTAAGTAATCTAAAAATCCAATATGGCGCCCATTTAACTTTAGGAAGTTGGTAAATGTTCCTCAAAAGTGGCCATCTTAAATTTTTTTTTGACATCAATTCTAAATTAAGCGTATCAAAGACAGTCACTTTTATATAAAACTTTTTTTTATATCTCTTATACTTTCGATGATATAAGACATTGAAGGAAATGACCAATTTTAGTTTTTTTGAATTTACGTCCAACCTATGCGACATTTTGAATTTCCATAAGGGAATTTTAAATAAGCATCCAAAACTGCAAAACATTGCCCATTTAACCAATTCTCTATCTTTAATAATAACAAAGTTACCCATGCAATCCCACGCGATCTGGGACACACTGTATATCCCGAGGTATATCCATTATTTTTGCAGATACCTGAAGATTACTAAAAATGGCCAGATAAAAATTTGGAAATATTCGTTTGCTTATGAGATACAACGGAAAATCAAAAAATTGTCAATTTCTATAAGACACGGGAAAGTGTTTATTACAAAAGGACTTTCTGAATAATCTGCCGTTTTCAAAATACGTATACGATGTCATCCAAAAAAGTTACCGTACCTAACCTCATTTTTTAAATAGAACACCCTTTAATTTAAAAAGATAGCATATTAAATTCTCTTTTTAAAAATATAACACACTAGGGATGATATTAAAGAAAAAGTGTTCCAAAAATATTCAAAAAGAATTAAAAAAATTTAATCCTGGTTCAAATAAAGTAAATAATAATCTAAATTGAAACTTACTGAATTGCAGTAGTTTTAAAAATCATCTCACTAGAAAAGGATCCAAATGTATACTTGAAATTTATTTTAAACAGGAAAGAATTTTATAAGCGTTGTTATTGACATGATATAGGGTAAAGGTTGAGCATCAGTCAGTCATTATTTTTAGATTTGGTACATGTTTCTTTTTTATTTTATTTTTATTTTTTTTGTTTCAATTCGATGTATACCATGCTTGAACCCCCACGCACAAGCTCTGCTTTTGTGGGTACTATTATTTTCTTTTTCTTTTGCAATGTTATTGTAACCGTATAAAATAAATTATTATTATTATTATGTAGTGTCATGTGTTTATTTATTTTATAGCATCTATTAAGCTGGCGTTTAATGATCTTAAAGATGGTGTATGCAACGATATTTAACTTATTGGCTACTTACTATGCACTCCACATGTGATCTATGTAAGTCCTAAGGTGTACAATGTAAGTGTTTCATTTCTGGCATGTACGCGGTCTTCTTCAACATGTTCTCTTCATCCTCGAAATGCACCAACTGCAAATAAAAACGAGATCAAATTAGGAAACAAATGATAGTGTTCTTCTTGTAATAATATAGGAAAAGAACGTGATTATATTAATTAAATTCACAAAAATGTTCAATTGCTTTATACATTCTGTAATACCATAACATTCAAAATCAACCATTATAAAATGAAAGTGAAACATTACGAGGTCTGATTGGCCTAATGGATCACCTCGTTATACAAATTTTGGTATCGAAGATAGAAGACACATCATCCTCCTAACGAATTCAAACAAAATAGGCAAAATCTTGTTGTAAATCACCTTCAAATTTACCCATAATGTCTTTAGTTATAAATGAACATAAGCTATTACCCATTGTTGTCACATCGTCTGTTTAAAGAATGTACCCTCGAATTTACCATTACTTTTGAAAAAGGTTGGACTCATACATAGTTCAATTAATTTAATTCGTTTTCGTTGTGTTTTTATTTGAACTTGCGTATTTTTTAGTAACTTTGTTCCCTAGGCAAGAAAAAAATAAGGTTACATTTATTAATAGTTAACATCAAACCATACGAACTTACCAACTCCCATACGTTTATGTTAGAAAGAGAAAACCAAAGCCAACTACTACTACAGAAGCTTGCAGTCACCAAAAATAACACATTCAATGATACATAAAGTTGTTTTTTCACTACTAGCGTCTGATGACATGATTATTAACCTTTTTTCCACTTGTAAAGTAGGCTTTCTCGGCATTTGTTCAAAGTGGTTAATAATTTTTTATTATTAACTAGTAGTCAATAATGAGAACTGTCACGCTGTCACTTTTAGAAAACACAACCCGAAATTTCGCTCAATGAACGTTTAGACAAGTTCTCTAAAACGAATCACCACCATTCGCAATTTCCAGAGAAATTACATACCTAAAATTATCACATTTTGAAAAAATTCGAACGAAATTACTCTTTGAAAAATCTCAATGACAGAACAAAATACGGCCTGTTTGACTTGTACTTCCACGTACTTGATTGACATGTTAAATTAAGCAACAAACAATTCTGTCCAACCGTTAACTCTCTTATCAATATAATATGTTAATTTAGAGGATTTCAAGTGCTAGTAGTGAAAAAAATAGTATATATACCACGGTAGAGAAGTCTATTATTGCCTTCGCACCTTACACCCCTCGGCGCAAGCGCCTCGAGATGTAATCTTGGTGCTCAGGCAATAATAGTGGACTTCTCTACCTTGATATATAATGTACTATTAATTTATGAAATGGAGCTTCTTCATGGGGCGTGACAATTTTTGTTTTCGCAAACCTTCCATACCGTTGGCTTGGAAACCCTTTGGAAAAGTTTAGAAACCCCTTTAGAAAGCATTTGCGTAATTTTCGAATTTTGGAATTTTCTTAAAGATTATCTTTGGGGTTTTCCTCGAAGTCAACATTTTAATAAAACGCTTCGCGAGAACCGAGATGGGGACCTTAGAAATGTTGTTAGACAAAGAAAACTTTTTTGCCAGAACTTCTGCATAAATGGTTTTTTCTGAAAATATTAACCCCCGCGTGAACAAGACATGGCGTACAGGCGGGATAACGCAGTTTATTACCACCCTAAAATTTTGAATTTTTATGGTTTTATGGCCCGGACATCGTTGTAAATAGTATCGTTTATGAAATGAAAGTATATGTAGTATTACCAATGGTATTACATAGTTCGCCAACAGAAGTCCAATATATAAACTTTTTTGCTCCTCATAAGAATGAAGCTTTTGAGAGCGTTTGTGAGTCCTTAAGAGCTTTTAAAGATTTTAAGGAGGTTTTTTAAATACATTTAAAGACCGTGCTCATTAATCTCTGATAGTTTTTAGAAGCCCTCACAAGTCTCACCCGGTTGTTAGAATATTTGTAAGACGTTGAACAGTAATTGTACAGTAGTAAGACTGATAATCGTTAAGAGTGTTTGGAAGCCTAACCTTGATGTGCCTTAAAGGACCTTAAGGAGTTTTTATGAGTCTTCAAGAGCATTCTAAACGCCTTCTTTTAAATGTTTTAAGTGACGTGGGCCTTTAACGTGATTCGTTGGTCTTTAAAGGCCTTTAAAAGGGTGTAAGTGTCACCAATAACTTTAAGGAGCATTTGAAAGTCTTTCAGATCCTTTTAGATCATTTCGGAACCTTTAAAGTCTGTTAGACCTTCAAGAAGTGTTACAATTCTCTTTCCCCTCACCAAAAGCTTCCTGCAAGTATTCTGTTCTCCAGTCCGGTTGTGAAACAGAATATTGAAAAACTCCTTAAAGATTTTCCTAAATTTTCAAATCTTACTATGTGCCTTATTGCTAGAAACAGGTGATTCTTCAGCTCGGCCAAGAAGCAGACATTATTTTTTTGAACACAATCTCGCGACTAAATCAGATCTTCTAGTGTTTTTGTTATCTGTGTATGACAGACGGACGACGAATCTATGTACAAAAAAAGACGCTTTAATCTTTCTTGAACATGTCACATTTTGTACTCGTCGACAATATAAACTTTACTAAAACACGAAACAAAGATCCAGAATTGACAAGTGGCAGATGCTTTAATCCGCTTAATTTAATAAGTCGATAAAACTTTACGGTCCATAAATAAATCGTTAATAAGCCTGACACGTAGCGGCAATCGATTTTTTTTCGAGAGAAAAATGCAATTGTTTTGCGATTTCTTTATGTGACGTTGTACAAGAAGTGAACGCGTATAATGGACCAGCATATTTTTAAAATCTTTATTACATGAAAGCGCACACTGTGGGTGTCCCTTTATTTAAAAGCAAATCTCAAAGGCGATGTTACCAATACATGGTGGTAGAAGCTTTTGTCGGAATTTTACTTATAGATGACAAGTCGAAAAGGAAATAGGCGGTACGCCCTCATAATTTTCTAATTTTGTTCTTTTATTAATTGCCTGTGAACTTGCGCCGTTAAAGTATAAGGAGAGTGGAACTGGCGACACATTTTTGCAGGTGATTTTTTTTTCAATGCAAGGTACACCGATTATGGTAATGCGTTCGTAACACTGCGAGCTGTTAATGTTTAACCAGTGTAAATTCAAGGTGTTTTCAGTACCAGAAGCCAGCTATTTACAGAGTTCTTTGATGTTATGTAGGGTTACCAGTAGGTGACGGCCTCGGTTACGGAATTTAAATGAACAAAGAGTTTTACTGGAATGCTTACACTGTGATTTAAAGCACCCTCGATTCAATTAAGCTGGAACGTATAGAATTTGGTCGATACTGATAGGTGCCAATTTTGTCCTCTTCCCCCTGTAAGGCCAGCATAATTTATTTTACAAATTCGGTGAATTCAGACGTCGTGAAAGATACTTAACCTAACCAACTGGAAAGGACGCGTGGCAAAGATAGATGATGCTCCCGACCAACATTGTTTTATTTACGAATAAAGTTGCAGTAAACTTGAGTAATTGTTAAAAAATAGAAAACTATTATTGGAGGATATTTGAGGTAATATGACAATATTTTGAAGAAATTCTGGTTCCACTAAAACCACTGCCCGCAACCAAACATATTTGTTAGTTGTTAGAATTGTTGCCTTATTTGCCAACGAATTAATTTCATTTTGTACATACAGTGCGAGTGTAAAGTTTGGAACTAAAAAAATCGGGGTTAATCAATTTCTTGTCGGATTAGCACATGTTCTATTTTTCTGGCAATAGTGCCAACGGTCAACCAACATAAACAATAAAAACAAGATGAAAAATGAGGTTATTTAATATTTATAATTATAGCCAATATATAGCGATCTTTCTTTTGTTATTCCGTGATCTTCTATGCAAGACAGAGGGAAACATTTTTTTTCACTTTTTTTTGTACACAAGTAAAAATGAAAACCTAACCTTAAAATAATTAAAGGTTGGTGAAATTGTACAATGACAAAAAATTTATCAAGTTAACAGCAATGTAAAACCAAGTAACTTGAGCAAGAAATTGTTCTATAAATTGACACTTCATGAAGTAATTGTTGTTGTAAAACTAGCTTTAGCAATACGGAATGAAAAAATAACGGGCCGGATTTTTGAACAAAATTTTACAGCGCTGCAAAGCACCTACATTTTTTTTCAAATAGCTACATAACATTTTTATTACATTATTTGAAAGACTTTCTTTTTACATATAGGTATAATCTCAAAAATTGATGATAGGTTTTATTACAAAAAAAATCGAGAAAATAATGTCAAAAGTAAAAAATCAATAATATTTTTTCCGGCAACACGGTTACTGTATATTAGGCATAAAGACCACTCCGTCATCGCCACTATCGAGGATCCCGTTGGCTTTAAATAAGAAGTGCCGTGAGAGAGACATCGATATATTTCACGGCTCTTTGAATGAATTAATTAGTCATATTGGATCGTAATTACTATATGCAGTTTTAGTTTTAAGTACAGCATCCCAGTGCCATGTCATTGGAATACTTGCATTCTGTATGGTATTTGGCTAAACAAATCAAAAAATAAATGAATGTAATACTGTCAGAAACGTTTTTTTTAATATATGGTTTGAGCGGTTCTGTCAAGAATTTGGCACCTGGTTTAACATCCAAGTGTTCAATCATTCTGCAGCAATAATTTTTTTTCCAAAATTGTTTTTCAAAATTCTACTTCAAGATCTGATCGTCAAGACATTGGATCCTTTGACTATGGTAATAATGAACCAAAGCTTATTTTGGACCTTTGAAAAGTACTTTTCAGCCGCAAATCGTAGTTCGAGGTAATGTAAAAATCTTAAATTTTGGATTCTTTGAAAAAACAATGTTCCTTTTACAACTCATTCGTGGTGCTATTCCCTAAACGACAGTTGCGCCATTAGTGTACATTTGTATCTCTTCGTCATCCTCTCGGTTCTCATTCCTCAACCTACCCCTTCAATTTGTTAGACATCGAGATCCAGTTTTGTATACTCGATTGTGGTATGTTGGGAGTGTTTGCAATTATCAAACAGTTTCCGAGTGCCGTTGCAGTCGGCGGCGGAGAAGTAAGACAAGGAGGTAGCGTTATTTCGGGTGCTGGGACTGGGGGCAGGATGTGCCATCATTTTTATTCCTACAGCTGCATAGATTTTAATTGTACTGGTTTTGTACGCTTGTATATTACACCCCCTGTATACGAATAGACACCCTTGAAGCGCAAAAAATAAGACAGCTTATAGGTATGATGAAACATTCATTGAAGCTGTACTTCACATAACAAAAGGCACACTAGGTACACCAACCAAGCACACTTTACGAGTTGTTAGTGATGTGATACACCCGATTTTTTTTTAGCGTGGAATGATAGGTAGGTATACTGTATACATTTAAAATTCTATATATCTGTTAATATTCAGTATAAATATGTTAACATGTGTGTAAAACATAGGAACAGACGCACAAATTGGGTTCGAATTTGGGACGGTAAAATTCGGTATGTCGTAAATCCAAATTAAAGTTCTCTACCGTTGTTAATAATGGCGCACTAAATGCAAAGTAAGGTATACAAAACACAATTCACCATTCTTAGCTTTAATCCGAAATTTAAAAATGACATAACACCGTTAACTTTGGAGCCCAATACGTAGAATGTGTCGCAAAAAATTGGTACAATTCAACATGTAAAATGGAACTCGATTGAAAGTTGTTATATAGGCATTAACTAACTTGTAATCCCAAATTTCATATCTGCGTTGATATTGATGCACAAAATATAGGAGTTGGTCAACAGACCAACACAAAATGAGCACAATTCAGGTACAAATTTTAGTATGATCGTAAAATGTTGGTACATGGGCATTAACTTGTAACGTTGTAACCCTAGAATAAAAATTTCATATCTCTCTTGATATGTTTAGGATGTTTCGGTTCTTAGATTTGGGGTCAAGTTTAATGCAGATGGCAAACATGTCATTGCATATTATTCCAATTATTGAGTTGCAATTTGAAGTTAAGAAGTGGTAGCAAAATAAAACATTGACCTTTCCACCATACAGTTTGTTGTGACAGCTGTAATCATTTTACCGGGTTACAAAAAATCGTAGTGACATTTTTAAATTTCATAGTGTGTCCTTATGACATTGCTCGGGGCGGATAAACTAGGTAGGTAAGACAGCATATTTATTTAATGTGCCAACAAAACGGTTTTTGTCACTCATAACTAATAATCCCAATGAAAATATTCACGCAAAGACTTCACGACCAGTTGCGAAACCTTTCCAGAAACCCAAACATTTTCAGAATTCGCTCTTTATAATTTAAGCATTATGTTTAAAAAAATTTGGTCTAGTGAACAATTAAAAAAGACGACGTCTAATCTTGATCAATTTGTTATGGTTGTTTTGTCACATAACGCGACGGACCTCCTGGTCGCAGTGTTCCTCGTCGGCCCACCTACCATCGTTTGTTTTATTATCTTCATTTATTTCTTTTTATTTAATACAATCTCGGCAGGCACAAGGATTAATTCTATTACAACTGAATAAACTACCTTTATCTGTAGAAATTCACGATTTAATTTGTACGCTTACCACGTGTAGCACGTTTGTAATTTGTTTCGAGCTTTTTAGAGAAGAGAAGAGTGCCTACTAAATAATTTAAGGCACACGGATGAATTTTACTGCCAACAACTTGATACAATTTTTAATATGCGTGATACATGGAATGATATAGTGTCTGCTACAATGCTGCTGTTAATAATAAATTTTCACTTTTTACGATCATCAGCACATGTCGTTTCGTAATTTTTCTTAATTATGAAAGATTGTAAATTTTAGTTTTAATGTCTTATTTACACCTAGTGCGATTGCTCCTTAGCATGGGAAGGCGTGTTAACGTTTTAAGGAGTCGTATCTTCCATGCAGAAGTTAAAGAAGCTGTTGAAAAATTTCTCCAAAAATAAAAAAATAAACAGTGTCAGTTTTCAATTGCTCTTCAGTTTTTGTTTGATTTTCGTTCCTATTAAGAAAAATCTTGTGTGATAGATATTGGTACACAAGTACCTACATACCTTTATAAATTGCAGTTCTGTAAACTTTTCATTGCTACCTTAAACAAACACTATTAAATATATATATTAAATAAAAATAAAATAAATAAATTAAATTTACAGATTATAAGTTTTCGTCACTTGGTACTAAGAGGCCAATGTGATCGTTTAGTGCTAATAGTCTGGAAGCCAGACGAAAAAGCTGGAAGTAAGGTACGGTGAAAATTTTTTTGCGGTTTTAGGTCACTAAGTAGGTCTATTTTAAGAATCCGATTGATGCCACTCTGTCACCCTTGAGCATTTTGAGAAATTCAAGATGGCGCTCAAAAATGTCTAGAAAAAATACAAAAATTAAATTTTTTTAAAATATGGGCATGTAGCACATCGACACGTTAATATTGAAAAAATATAACAACCAACCCCTCAAAAACACCCCCCACGCCTCCAAAACTCCCCCAAACATATTTTTAACTAAAAATTTAAATTCAGAAGGCTTAAAAACCCTAAAATCAATGTACTACATGCCCATATTTTTAAAAAATTTAATTTTTGTATTTTTTGCAGACATTTTTTGGCGCCATCTTGAATTTCTCAAAATGCTCAAGGGTGAGTGGCATCAAACGGATTCTCAAAGTAGACATCCTTACGAACTAAAAACCGTCAAAAAACCTTCACCGTACCTCACTTCCAGGTTAAGCCAATAATCCCAGTTTGGCATCCAGACTATAAACATCTGAGTAAATGTGGCATTGGCAATGGAATAGATTGTAACATATAGTTCTTGTTGTAGTGGCACGTGCAACACGACAGGCAGGAAATAGGCAAAGGTGCAGAAATTTAATTGGACTACCGTATATCATTCACGTCGACACCATTATAATACAGGACACACAATCTTAACAACTAAGATTATAGGAAAAAAATGTTTTGCGTCTCGTCCTAAGATAAATATCTATGGAAAATATTCAGGGAAGGTGCATAATGCATATTATTTAAAGTTACTAATTTGCAAGTGAGGTCATATTTTTAGCGCATCTTTACATACAAAAGAGATAGTTTTTATCTCAGTTTTTATAAAAGAGAAACGACTAAGATTTGTACTACCATTGTAATATATTTGAAAAAAATCATTAATACAAAAAGACTCACCAATTGTCTTGTCCGCTTTACTGATTTTCTTCATTACTTCTTATCTACCCATTCCATTGGGTAATCTAAGAAGAGAAATGCGTATTACTTTACACTCAATTGATCGTTTTTGACAAAGTTATTATTATAGAAGACTCACCCTGAATATTAGCCTTGCGCATCTTCAGTGATTCTAGTAATCTAAACAGAGAAATTGCTTTACACTCTTTACAGTTAAAAAAAAATTATTAATATAAAAGACTCGCTGCTAGTTTTATGCACTTTCACTTTCAAAAAATAAAAAGTGCACTTTTGCGCTCTTGATATGTCTGTCTGAGCCACAAAGGCACCCGAAACCACGTACAGACTTAGTATTGGTGTCATTACATCAGAAATCAAAAATTATTTCATGTTTGTATTCTCGTTAAGGCATGAAGTGTATTCGCCTCTTCCTTTAAAAGCGGCTTGGAATATTCAAAAACTTTTTTGTGCCTTTAATTGTACATTAAAACGTTATATGCGGCATGAACATTTTATATCGAGCCCGTCTAACAAAATTTACAAGGTTTTTCGAATTTTTTTCTTCTTTCAGAATTTAGGTCACCATTATTGCGGAAACGATTTTTACCTGCACAAAAAATTAGGAATTTAGTCAAATCCGGTACGCAAAACTACACTAACTAATGTTTCTATGACTTTGGGCGCTTTAATTAATAAAAGGAGCGGTGAGGAGAGTAGGGATTGTTCTTTCATACCCGTATGAGATCAATCTTTTTGTATTTATTTTACCTGGATTGACAGTTTTTGGAAAGAACATTAACATAAAAGATTCACAGATATTTTCTGTCACTTGGTTGATTTTCTCGCTTGCTTTTTATACCATATTAAACCTAAAACTAAAAGGAGAAATGTGTATTATTTTACACTCAATTACGAGCTTAATAACAGTTTATGAAAAAAGTTGTTAATACAAAAACATCGGTATTTTTGGTTCATTTGGCTGAATTTCTTTCTGCGTTGTTTGTTGTCCCATTCCATTAATCTAAGAAGTGAAAGATGTGTTATTTTACATTCAATTGCCAGTTTTTGAAAAAATTCATTAATATAAAAGACTCGCCGATATTTTTTCTTTCGCTTGGTTGAGTTTCACCATTGCATCGTATACTATACCAATAAACTAAAACTAAAATGTATATTACTTAACATCCATTTAACAGTTTATGAAAAAATAATGAATACAAAAGTCACCGATATTCTTGTTCACTTGATGGGCTAATTTTCTTCATTGCTTTCTACGACATTAAACTAAAGTATTATTTTACAGTCAATTGACAGTTATTATACAATCAGTACCTACTACGAAAGACTCGGCGGTCTCGTCCATTTGGTGAAATTTCTCCATTGCTTTATGTACCATGCCATTAAACTAAGCAGAGAAATTATATTATTAGGCGAATGAAACGAGCCTTTGTTTCTACATTTATTTAGAGATCCATGCTTTGTTTAGTTATTTGACACTAAATGGACAGTTTAAAAAAAACCATTAACACATAACCATTAATTTATTCATTTGGTCGGTTTTTAAAAAAAAAATCGTTAATACAAAAGACACTGATAGGTATTTCCGTTCGATTTGCAGAATTTTTCTATTAATCTAAAAAGAGGAAGAGTTATTTTAGATTCAATTGTCAGTTTATGAAAAAATCATCATCATCACGAAAGGCTCCCCGAAATTTTCTTTCACTTGGTTGATTTTCTCCATTGTTTCTTATGTATCGTTCCATTAATCTTATGACATGATCATCAACGGAAAAGACTCACCGATCTTCTTGTGCACTTGGTTAATTTTCACTCTTGCTTCTTTTACCATCGCAAAAAAGAAGAGATGTGAATTATTTTACACTAATCTGCAAAAATAATCGTTAACACAAAAGATACCAACATTCTCGTTCCTTTAGTTGAATTTCTCCAAGGCTTCTTATGTTCTCCCATTAATCTAAACAGAGAAAGATATGTTATTTTACACGAAATGGGCAGTTTTTGACAAAATCATTAACACAAAAGATTCACTGATCATTTCTTTCACTTGCTTTGTTGATTTTTTCCATTGCTTCTTATATATATCGTAAGTACCATTAAACTAAAAGGAGACATGTGTATTACTTAACACTCAATTGGCAGTTTATGAAAAAATAATTAATACAAAAGACTCACCGATCTTCTCGTTCATTTGGGCTAATTTTCTCCATTGCTTCTTACAATATTAGCCTAAAAGGAGAAATGTGTTACTTTACAGCTCGCTTTACAGTCGATTGAAAATTGTTGAAAAAATCGATTCACCGATAACTTCTTTCACTTGCTTGGTTGTTTTTTTCCACTGCTTCTTATGTGTATCGTAGGTAGCATTAAACTAAAAGGAGAAATGAGAATTACTTAACACTCAATTGGCAGTTTTTGAAAAAATAATTAATACAAAAGACTCACCGATCTTCTCGTTCAATTGGGCCAATTTTCACCATTGCTCTTACAGCATTAACCTAAAAGGAGAAATGGGTACGTTACAGCTCGCTTTACAGTCGAATGAAAGTTTTTGAAAAAATCGTTAACACAAAAGACTCACCGATATTTTTGTTCACTTGGTTACCTTTTTTATTATTTCCATAGCAAAATGAAAAGAATTTTTTTTAATGAAATAAAGAAAACCTAATTTGCAAAAATAATCATTAACACAAAAGATACCGACTTTCTCGTTCCTTTAGTTGAATTTCTCCAAGGCTTCTTATGTTCTCCCATTAATCTACACAGAGAAAGATATGTTATTTTACACTATATGGACAGTTTTTGAAAAAATCATTAACACAAAAGATTCACCGATAATTTTTTTCACTTGCTTGTTTGATTTTTTTCCATTGCTTCTTATGTATATCGTAGGTACCATTAAACTAAAAGGAGAAATGTGTATTACTTAACACTCAGTTGTCAGTTTTTGAAAAAAATAATTAATACAAAAGACTCACCGATCTTCTCGTTCAATTGGGCCAATTTTCTCCATTGCTTCTTACAACATTAACCTAAAAGGAGAAATGCGTACGTTACAAGCTCGGTTTACAGTCGAATGAAAGTTTTTGAAAAAATCGTTAACACAAAAGACTCACCGATATTTCTGTTCACTTGGCTACTTTTTCTATTATTTCCATAGCAAAACGCAAATAATTTTTTTTAATGAAATAAAGAAAACTGAATTTGCAAAAATAATCATTAACACAAAAGATACCGACATTCTCGTTCCTTAGTTGAATTTCTCCAAGGCTTCTTATGTTCTCCCATAATCTAAACAGAGAAAGATATGTTATTACTACACTACATGGACGGTTTTTGAAAAAAATCACTAACACAAAAGATTCACCGATAATTTCTTTCACTTGCATGGCTGATTTTTTTCTATTCTTCTTATGTATATCGTAGGTATCATTAAACTAAAAGGAGAAATGTGTATTACTTGACATTCAATTGGGAGTTTTTGAAAAAATAATTAATACAAAAGACTCACCGATCTTCTCGTTCAATTGGGCCAGTTTTCTCCATTGCTTCAACATTAACCTAAAAGGAAAAATGTGTTATTTCACAGTCCTCTTTACAGTAGCCGATTGAAAGTTTTTGAAAAAATCGTTAACACAAAAGACTCACCTATATTTTCGTTCACTTGCCTACTTTTTCCATTGCTTCCATAGCAAAACGCAAAGATTTTTTTTAATGAAATAAAGAAAACTTAAAATTATGTTTTATTAACGTTTTACAATGTGTTTTCCGAGCGCTATACTTAATTAGATCGTAATGTTATCTCGTACAAAAAAGTTTTAAATTCAAATCTGGTAATAACCAATTAGGGATATTTTACTTATTTATTTGGAATCTTTTTGGTATCATTCTATATGGAAAGACGATCATTATTCCGTTAAAGTGAATTAAAAGGATAGATAGCTTATAGCTAGTAGGAGATCGATTTTTAATTTGTAATAGGTAAGTTCAATCAATGTGAATTTATAATTACAATATTACATTTTTGGATTGATTGTTTTTGATTATTTTATAAATGATAATGCCACAGATGTTGGCGTGGCGTCAGAACTCCATGTTGACTTTAAGATTTTTAATTTGTAGTAGAATCATTCAGGATAACTCACACCAAACATAAACATGGACCACTATGCTTTTCTTATAAATCGACCTCGCCGGCCAATCCTGAAAAGCGTTTTGTAACACTTCTTATACCATAATATTAAAGAAATCTGTATTATTTTATACCCTTTTCCACTAATTGGCAGTTAAAAAAATCTTCCAGACTCTCGCCCACTTTGTTGTTTCTTATGCCACCCCATTAACCTGAAAGGAGAAATGTGTATTCTTTAACAGTCAATTGACAGTTTTTGAAAAAATCATTAGAATACCAATATTTTCGTTTACTCGTCGCTATTGCTTCTTGATGTGTCATCTCATTAATACAAGGGGAAATGTGCATTGTTTTACACTCACTTGACGGTTTCTAAAAAAAATCATTAATACAAAAGACTCACCGATATCCCTCGCTGACTTGGCCGAATTTCATCATTGCTTTTTATGACATTCCATTAATCTAAAAGAAGAAATGCGTATTCCTTTATATTCAATCGATAGTTTTTGATTCATAAATACAGAAGCCTTCAATAATTCTCATTCACTTAATCGATTTTCTCTACAAAGCTATCATGAAACAGGTGATATTGTATCAACAACTAAACCATAAATAAATTTGACTTAATTAAGTTGTAGACACAAGGGAGTGTATATGTCAATGTACCATCTCTCCTGTAAGAAGGTTTAAAAATTATTCCACATATTAAAGGCTCTGGTGGGAATACGCAATGATTTCGAACACCTTAAAAAATACTAAAACTTTCAACGTAAAATTCGAATTGAGTATCTACAGTTATTTGTGAACACCCGATACAATAATAATCGTGCTATTTATTAAACATATTTCTATATACGAAATTGTCTTTTTAATTTCATAGGGGGCTCTGGAACTCTAATTTTGATATATACATTTCCATTCCTTATTTGCATAAATTCATACGAAAAGTTGTAACTAATTACATTGTACTTAATCTTTTATAAAGCACACACCGTGAGTGTACACAAAAATAATTTCTTGCTTTACAATAATACGTCATATGATCTTGGCATGTTTTTTCACTTTATCGCACGGGACTGAAGATACGGTATGGAGCAGGCTTACGTTTTACGTATCTGGTAAACCTTTCGCAGCAAAAAGTTTCACCTTGTCAAAAGGCCCTCCGAAAATCATGTACGAAATCGATTTCATTTTGTCCACCATCCCTTTTTTCCTCGGTTTTCTGTCGGAATCATCATACACAATCAGGTCATAACTATTTGTAAATCGGTATGAAAAGTATAAAATGGTTTCTCGAACATAGAATTACTGTCTGTGAGCCCACTCCTCTCATTAAGTGCTATTAAAATGTTCAAAATGCTTACCCCGAGGAGCAGTTTTGGCAATATGAAGTGAGGCGCCCAGATCATTTAGGAATCTTTCGTTTGTTCATAATTTTCTTAAATAATAAAATCTTATTTAAAAAAACGCAGCTCCAATAATAGCCCTGATAATTTGCATTCACAGTTACCATTGGGAAAAACCTGCATTCATTTTTAAGGGTGGAGCAGGTAGAAATGCTGTAAATATCTATGAACGACTGTATGAATGGAGAAGCTGGAAAGAAATAAAGACGCGCCTTGGGATGGCAAAAGAAGAATTTGTCAGGAAAAGTAGAATACAGTGCAGCAAGTTGGACATAAATCTAAGAAAACGAATAGCGAAGTGCTTTGTATGGAGTGATATGCTGTACCTACGGACGTGAAACGTGTACAATTTTGAAAAAAAGATAAGAAAAGCATTGAAGCTATGGACATGTGGAGAAGAATGCTTGGAATAAAGTGGTCTGACAGGATTAGGAACCGAAAGAATAGGGAAAGGAAGATAACACAATTTTGAGGAAGGAATGTGACTTAGAACTAGTCAAATACAAAGAGAGAATAGTTTGCTGATCATGATCAAAGGCGCCGTGGAGAGTACAAGGAAACAAGGAAGAAGACGATATGATATGAAAGAGGGGAGAGGATACGTGGATATGAAAAAATGGCAATGAATAGATAAGAGTGGAGACGGCAAAATAGAACCTGCAAATAGCAGAAAACTTAAAAAAACCGGCTGGACTGCCGGTACCAAAATTGGCTTCACAGACAATTAATTTAATTCATTCAAAATAACCCGAGACAGCCTCGTTTGCTCTTCATTCTTCTTATTTATACAAAAACCACCTCCTCTATTAAAATCAACATCGTTATTTCTTACGCCACCAGAATTGATACACCTGCATCGCTTATCTCGCCCGTGACATTGTTTGTCGATAAAACAATTAAATTAATTTTATTAACACCTGAGCAGGTAAAAGTTTAAACTCGCGTAAACAATTTCGATTAAATGTTTCCTAAGTTACCCCTTTTAAATTTATCACACAACAAGTACAACAAATAGATTTAAAGGAATTAAACAATTACCGACTAAATTTTGCAATAAGGAACTAACGAGGGAACTAACAATATAATGATACATCAACAATTTGTTGTGTATTTGAAAATTTATAAAAAATCCCAAATCTTATGAACTATGTTACATACGATGTGTATGTTACATTCCGATATTCAGATCGAAATTAGGTGGTATTTTTACAGTACAAGGTGGCTCGCTGTCATCTTCGACATTGTTTCAACCTAGAGAAACGACACCCCGATGTAGTTTACACTGCTATAACATTATATACCTAAATGTTGAAATGACATGCTTCTACCGTCGGCAAGTTTTATTGATTGGTCTTAGTTACCATGGATGCAATAAACAAAATAATGAAACAAAAAAATTAATCCATGCCCTACAATTTAAAAACCGTAAAAAATAAGGTATTTATTTTTGGTTCATGGCTAAAATTTAAAAAAACCCGTAAAAAAATATAGGTTGTGATACATCAAAGTAATCAGGAAAAAATCAAACAATGGGCGTTACGATTTATAGGGCGTTGCATTTAAAAAATACCAACGTTGGGTCAAATCTCAGAGGCTGTGTTCAAATTGTTCTTTAACTACGCCACTGGATTTTACGTAAAAACATCTAAAATAGACCGTTTTACCTTTTTCTATCTTACATCGGTAAGATCGGTAAGATATGATCAACAAACTTTTCGTTTTCATCTTGTAGCTCAGAAACAAACATAGCTGAATTGATTCTGTGGCATTAAAAGTTTCACAAAAAAAGAGACACAATGTAGCGAAAACCGCACACCTCGTCTTTAAAAACAGCTGAGATGTGGTGCGGTCTCAACCAAAATAGGCTACAGGGTACGTACGAGTATTACTTTATCCACAACTGTATTTAATCAAATAATCACACACTCAGTTCACTCTTTAACGCAACCTATCAAACTAAGACGTGACCTAAAATGTCAAATGTCTCATACCTTATTAAATAAATATGTTTTTTAGACATAAGGACACTTCCTATTTCCCAATCGGTTCCAATATTCCCAGCTTTCAGGACCATTAGAGAGAACATTGGTACAACATTTCAACCAAATCGGTCTGCTCCTTACAACTTATACGTAATTCAATAAATATCGATTTTATTCAATCGTACAATACAAACATTTTTTTAAAGTATTTCTTCGGACTCCTGAGATCTTGAAACAAAGATCCGGTGAAATCTCAAAATCCATAATATGGAGTGATTTCAGTAGCCTTCTAATTTTTTATTGGTGAGCTGAATGAAATGGCACGATGTAATTTTGTCATACTGCTGTAGTAAACGTTAAAAATCCACATATCTTTATTTAACTATGGGAAGGGCACTCAATTCTACGGTTCGGTAAGCTTGAGCACCCCCAATTCAGTCTGTGTGCCCCTTGGGGGAAGAGGTCAGTATTGCAAAAATTCTATGATTCCCAAGAAGGAGGTGGGGGAAGTCAGGCTCAGCTCTGCTTAGCCACATCGGCAAGATTTTTGAGAGCGAGAAGGGTGGAGGGTCTAATTGAACTTTTCCCGGAGTAATTTGATTTGGTGAAACGAGTCCTCGGCGGCCATGGATTGTGCAAAAAAAAATAGTAGACTGCAATTTGTATACATGCTTGTAGCAACGACTTGCGTACGTTTTGATTAATTTTGATGGGAGTTTGGTGAACAACAAACTTGATTACACAATCTTGGATGCTTATGATTATTCCCATTATTTATTGTTTTGTTCGTTAATAGGGGATGTAGTCTCTGTTATAGAAGGTTAGGTGATCATCGGTACTGTATCTAGACCACATGTCTAAACCTATCTTTATAGATTTTTTTATTTCAAGACTGCTACGTCTATAAATTATTTTTATTAAAAGTATATTTTGCGCAACGCCACAAACACGAAAATTTTCTCTTGAAACTGTTTTGTTACTCAATGTAGACTCAGCGTAGCAAATATCTTACTTCATGTTTGTAAAGTGATAAGATGTTAATGGCAACCTGTCGTGGCAATAGCACCGTGAGGAATGTATTCCATTTGACCTGTTACTGATTCAATTTTTTACACGATTATGGAAGAGCTTAAAATTCTTATTCTTTACTGTGCCAAATACTTCACTGTATCTAGTTTCAAAAATTTGCGGTTTTTCAAAAATATACCGTGCGGTTTTTGTTATACTGTCTCAATAGTTGCAGTTCAATTACGAGTTTTGTTCCACCCTAAAGAGATACCAACGCTTTTATTTTGCTCAGATTATCTTTTTTTTTAAGAAAACCACATACACGTTACATTCAGCCAGTGTCAATATTTAACACATCTTGATACCTAGAAACTTACCCAACAACTTTATCTGTTATTAACGTTATAAATGTCGTGGTTTTGTTGAAATCGCGTACTACGCTTCTGAAGTTACATCAGTTCGGGACCAACCATGAAAATACTTTTGGTGATCGCTTTGTTGGTATCATCCATTTGTGCGTTGGTATGTATGTCTAATTCTGTTATCTTTCCATTGTACCTAATGAAACTTTTAGAAGTTGCCGACGGACACCCAAACAATGTGGAATAATATTTTTGCACCTTTCGAAACGAAATGTATGTGTGAATTGAAAATCAATGACGCCGCAGCCAATCAACTTTATAATTATGACTGTGTTGCTAAGGTCGCTCCTTTTCCGTGCTTTGTTAGATGTTTATTCAAAAAGGCGGGACTGATAGATGCTAACAACCGCTTGGTGAGGGCCAAGTGGGTAGATGCAGGACCTAAAGTCAACGGTACTACATATGATAGGTGTCTAACTTTTTATCAGTGTGCCGAAACAGATACATGCATTATTTTAGCAGATTTTTGGGAATGTATGGTAGATCATTCACTTGTGGCTTGATAACTTCAGTATATATCTGTTTCATGAATAATATTTAATAAACTGTTAGAACTTGTTTAAAACCATTCTTTCGAATTTGCAATAAAGATGTACCAGTGTCAGTTTTTAAACTGAATTACATGTAACCATGTCCCTATAGCTGATATTCGTAGGGGATAGTTTTTATAGGTATTTCAGAAGGAAACGTATGCATGAGCGTCTTACGGCCGTCATGAATTTGTATGTCATACAAGAAACTGTATAAGGCAGGAATAAATTTCCTTTTCTCCTTTGTTTTAATACGTCTAGTGGCGAGGGTAATCCTCTTCGTTGCGTTCTTGTGCTATTTGAAAGGACACAAATAACTGACACGAAAAATCTAATAGGTCGAGGTCCACCACGCTGTTTTTTTTCTATTGTTAAAGCCTACAAGCATTTTTGAAATCAATAACCAATTACAATAATATAATGTAATAAATGACGGCCCTGTGTGTAAACTAAAGACTTTGGAGCGCACATCACAAGTCATGATTTGCAATATTCTGTATTCTATAAAAATGGCATTCATTCAAACAATTTCAAAAGCAAATCAATCTCTGTTAACAAGTTGATTTACTTTTTAGTAAGTAAAATGTTAGTGAAGATTAAAGAACTTGGCTGCTATCCAATTAAAACAAAGCAACTTTATAATTGCGTTAAATAAAGTTATCGTTGTCATTTTCACGGTTTGTACTTTTTGTAATTGCCCAGGTCGTTCCTTTTATTTTTACAAATTTGTATTAAATTGAATTGGAATAGCGTAAACATAACAATTGAATTACAAAATGGCATCGTGAAAATATTATTTTTGGTCACTATCAACGATAGGGAAGCAAAGCTATTCTAAAATATCCATTCCCACGTGAAGAATTAGAGTTTTTGATACTCTCCAGGACGACCAGAATTCGCTACAGGGCAATCATCTAAGCATAAGTAGTTTTATTACTAGTTTCCGTAGTTTCCAGACAAAACATTAGGTACAGAAATGTTTCCGAATCTTGGAGATACTATCCAGAACTCAACAAGTCTCTTACTTTTTTTGTTATAAGGGCCACTACAAAACTTCATTAGAGATAGTTCTAGAGCTCTTGATGGACTGTCCAGAATTCCAATAAACTTCAAGGCTGCACAAGGAACTCGTTTTGTACTTACTTTTTAGCGGCAAAAGTAAAAATCCTTCTTATATTAATTATACAAAAAGTGGATACTTAATTTTATATTATAAGGTTTGCCATAATCCATTAAGGAAATTTTTGCGATTGACGGAGGACTGTCCAGACCCTCCCCAAGAAAATTCTCTTACTTCTTAAATTTTTTAATTAAAAGTAAGGTTTAGCACAGAAGTTTCGAGAGTGTGATGAAAGCTGCACCACTGGAAATGCGCACACAACGACGAAGGTTCGCAGCGAGTGCGCATCATGCTTTCTTCTCCAGCTAAGAGGAGAAAGCGGCGAGATAGATGTTTGTCGAGTATGGCAGTGTTTGATTGGCAAATCACCCCTTATTTTTTTTCTTTGTAACTGCTGTAATTAGCGTAGGACGTAGGGTAATTGTTTTGTGTTAGTTGCATGTCAATTTGGAGGTCAATTTAATAGGGTGTTTGCTTTCATTGGCAGGGCGTTTGTTTTAAAATTGCCCAATAATTGTGTATAAATATGAAGGGTAAGGGCCGTATTTAGGGGTAGATATGCTATTTGCTGTAGATTGCGCGTATAAGACTTTTCATTGTACTAATGTTGTAGGTCACGCAAATTTAATTACTTTGTTGCATTAATGGGAATTTTCTTTTAGCTTAATATGATTCTGTTTGGGGTTAGGGTTGATTTTTGTAATTTATTAGTGGGAGATTTAGGATTAATACACCGGGTGTGAATACAATTTAGGGCGCATTATAGTTTTTGATACGTAGGTAAGTGGAATTTTCCCTAGGTATAGGTGCGACCTCTTATTTGATATTAATATACAGGGTGGGTAGATAATTTAGGATATTTGGGAGATTTTGTGTACGTAGTTATAGTGTCATGTAACTTCACATGTATTTTATATTTTAACCATTCGTAGGAATGTGACTTTGGAATTCAAGTATGATTTGTAAAATTCAGTTACGATGATTGATATGTAGGATGGCTCGGGAGAAACAAAGCAGGCTAAGAGATCCTTGTTCTTGGTTTTAATAAGCTCAAGAAATAAAATTTACCGGGATACAAATGGTTGTCACAATCGAGGTTGATTTAATAAATGATCTCAACATATTACAAATAGGATACTGTAATATCTAGATCTGAAATGTCAACATATAAATTTAAATCAAATTTTAGCAAAAAGGGGGATTATTACGTCAAGGAAAATATTAAAAGCAAAACAGGGTTCCGCAGAAAACAGCGGAACTATAACGTTAAATGACTATCAACAATGGTAGTAATTACAATTCGATTGTATCGAAAACCAGTATGTCATCAAACTTTATATCAAGGAAATGTCAAAAATAAAAATAATACCTTTTGAACCACCAGGTCGCAACCTTTTCGAGCTCAGAAAGGGCGCTTTTCTGCCTTATCTTTAAGAGATAACAACACAAACAAACAAAGAAGAGGGATAGTGAATAGCGCGGCATAAATATATTACGATATAGCACTGTCTAACGTGTCTCACTAATCAGGGAAATTATATATTAAAACCGTAATTAATACTCAATAAGAACCAATAGTTAAATTTACGTTAACTAAATAAAAGCAAAATTTTGACTCGACCACAGATCGTCTGTACAAATCGGTGTATAAATGCGTGAACATGACGTTTACTTCAAGAAAACTACTTTACGACGCAACGGTAACTAAATATCTTGTATAACAAAGCTAATCTGAAGGATAGAAAGTAACCAATCTAACAGAAATGAATCTTAGAAGAAACAAAAGTAATCAAGGGATAATATAGATCAAATCGGACCTCGGAAGGTATATCCTTCGTAGCGACAAAAGTAAAGTACGTAGGATCAAAATATTGAAGCAATTCACAAAGCTATTTCGTTAATTCTTGCACTTGGAAAGGAGCAATAAACAAGATGTAAACAAATTCCATGTCAGTAGTTCGCCAGGGGCCTATAACACAAACGATTGTATATTGAAGATAAATCCCTAAAAAAATACGTATTACGAATAATGCTGAGTCAGAATCCGTACATACCATACACTAATTACTTGCAAATGCAAATCCGCAAAGCGTATTCAATGAAGCACACCCACAGCACATCAGAAATAGAGAGAAAAAAACACTCCAAGCAATATGGTGATAGCCAAACAATAAGTAATTATGCCCAGTTGCACCAACAAAATTAAGCCTTGCTTAAAGTTAAGTCGAACTTAAAATCTATGGCAACGATTATTAATACAATCGTTGCTATGGCATTTAAGTTATGCTTAACTTTGAGCGATACTTAATTTTGACGGTGCAATTGGCTTATTCAGGTAGACATAAGTCAAGTAAAAAATAATGGCGTATCGAGAAAAATTTGCATACAACCGTTAGGAAGGCCAGATCGTCTTTGCGCGAAAGAAACGGAAAAAATACGACTGTACGCAAGGACATATAAAAGAAGGGATGGGAATAGAAGTATCACGGATGGCCTCGAGCGGCAAACTAAAGAACTAAGATATCAACAAATCTACTACAGAAATAAGTTACATCTTAACTAGACGGGTTTATAAAGGAGATGGCGTAAGAATTTAAATGAAAGTATAAATCGAAGAGTTAGAGTACAGTAGAGTAGAGTATATTTTTATTTTCACTATATATTATTTAAACGGGATTTAAATTTGGAATATCAGTTGGTAAGAAAAGAACGTTACACCCTCAAAAGAATTTTCCGTAGTCGATTTTTATGGTAAACCTTTTATGAATTTTTCAAAAAATATTGCATTCAATTGCTGTTTGAAATATTGCCATACGTATTATTAATAATAATTTTATGGTCAAGTATTATTAATAGAACTCCAGTGGTGCTACCCCGAACTTGAGTATTTGTTATGATTTATGAATAGCATCACAGGAGTTGTATTATTATTAAACACACTTAATGAGTTTGGCCATAAAATCATTATTGCCAAAGTTTTACCTGTAATCCTTTTCCCGTATACAAATATTTCAAAGTTCGCAAAGGAGCGCAAAATTTTTTTTTAAATTTATGTTTTTATAAGAGTTCTGGGTAGCAGCATCTCAATAGTTCCACCGATAACTAAAACGACAAAACGTGTGATATGCATTCATTAATTTTTTCCGATTTAAATTTCGTGATTGTAAAGCTAGCACGTGATGGACGTACGGACAGACAATAACATCTTATAAAGTACATTCGAGTCAAAGCTTTCCGCCCTTAAAAACCCGCTGATCTCAATGCCGATCTTTAATCCTCAAGCGTGCCTACTTGTGCAGGTAAAAGCACGCTAACTCGGCAAAGCTCTCACCGGTAAGATCTAGTTTATGTCATTTTCCATTCCTTTCCACCTGTTGCTCAAATCAGAGGCTTCACAAGTACTATATGCCATATCTGGTTATGACGATTGGAATATAGTAACGGAACATGTAATAGACAAACGGAAGCGTACATTTCATTAATTACAATTGCTAATTCGTCGACATGAAAGCATACTTTTTACGGTTATTACTAAGAAGTCTTCACATACCTATCACTTTAAGAGAGAAAATTTAATAAGTGTATATAATTTATGCCGTAAAGTCAAATTTTCTCCATCGATTATCATACAATAAAAGTACAACTTGTATATTTTAATGGTACTTAATGAAATTTATTAGTTGTTAACATAAATTAACGGCCCGTAATTTTTCAGTATCCTACAGATCGGATTTTTGATAATACTGGTCGACACATTTGTAATAATTTTATTGTTTCTTACTCACACAATTTTATTTCACGTAAATTATTGTTATTATGGTTTTAGTTTTATACTTAAAAAGTTAAAAAATGATACATTATCAGGAAATTGGCAAGGATACGCGAGCTACAGGTAGGGTATTGATGCATAGTATACAGTGTTATATTCAATAAAGTAATTCATGAAAAAGTAATATTTCGATA